ATTTGACTGGAAATAAAAGAACTTTCTTTTCTCTTCATTATGATTTACCTTCTGCATGAGTAGATTTATTCGACTTTAAGATATACACTGGCGAATTAAAAACAAATGGCCATTTGCATTGCCATTTTTTGAAATACTTATTATTCAATCTGAACAATTTTGTATAAACTTTTACACTTCTGGAAGGGATATCCTCTATACCTATTTTATTTTTTTTGGAGTTCATTCTTAGTGTTATCAACATTAATGTGCAGTTTGGTTCTCTCGTACTAGCATATAAAATTCCTTCCATATGAGGCTACTTCCACTTTCCCCAAAATTAATAGTTATTTCTCTTAATACACCTAAATAAATGACGATTTTACTAAGTAAAAGGCATTTGCAGAATTCAATAAACTGAATTAATCACAATAGTGTTTTCAAATATATGCCAAAATGTCCAGGCAAATTTCATAGTAGTGTTGCATGGTCTTCGGCGGCTACTGTACACTTGCATATTTTGGCTGTGGAGCGTTGCATGATCTTCGGCGGCTACTGTACAAAGACATGCCAAATATCTATTTGTGGCAGGACTGATTGTAGAGGCCCCGAAATTCCCGTCGACTTAGAATGAAAACCAACTTTTAAACGTTCGGGTCCTGACTTCAAATTTTTTCGTTAAATTCCACCAATAGGAGGACGAATTCCCATTTTCCTTGAAATCCGCCTACATAAGGTCAAACTTCCCTCGATTGGCATTCGTTATGTTGGTCGCAATTTATTCTATTTTAGCATTTTAATACAAACATAATCTTATTTAATTTACTATATTTTTGATCACATCCACCACAATTACGCTCACTAGCCAAGAATTATATATGTGACCACAAAATACGTTAAGCAGTTGGGCGGGGGGATGGATTTCTAGAGGAGCCCTACAAATCAATTTTGCCATATTTGTTGTCGAAAACTACAGTATGCAAATGCGTCTTTCTTCAGCACTCTCCTACTGAAATCAAAAGCAAAAAGTCTCGATAATTAGAAAACAATACAAGTAATAAAGTAAATTGAGTCTTCTTAAAATCCGTAATACGGTGTGGAGAAAGCTGACCGAGTTACCTCTTTCATAATGGCAGCTGGTCTAACAGCGCCCTAAATGCTTTGTTTCTTGACCTTTTAAAATATTCCATTAACTGCGAAAAAATCGGTTGTCTTATAAAGTCAACCGACCGCCCCAGTAGTCATCCCAATGTAGCCAATCCAAAAACCACCAGATAATTAATAAACTCAATTTATTACTTTGTACTTTAAGCCTTTAAGCATATTCGCTGCTGAAACTTTTGGGAGAATACTGTAATCGGTCACGCCAGGAGGGCGTGGTGCAACATAATTTTCCATGAAATTATTAGTGAGCCGTATTTGTGAATCAATCTTCCCGCAAATAGTCAGCATCTGTGAGGAAACTTTGACAATACACAATGGGGACATGAGTGATTTGCAAGACCATCAACAAACAATGCATATGCTGTGCAATTAAGGGAGTAGATACGTGCAGGATAACTGCATCCTATGCATGCTCCAAGGTGCCCCTAATTGGCATTGTACGATGCTCCTTCTGATGATATTTTAAAACATGACTTCGAAACACCAGATAATAAATCCCGCGTCCTAACGAGTAAGCCGCATTCATTCTAATACTTTTATAGAACTGTCACTTCCCTTTCATCGAGTCTTAGTATTATCTCTAAACGACCCTGACAATTTTGCTTAAACATGCGGCTAACCTTGACTTTAAAGACTGTCAGTATAATTACTTCCGAACATCTTTCTTATGTGCGTTCTGTCGGTCCTGGTTGACCTTTGAGGCAGCAGCACCGTTTTCGCTGGAAAAATGGTTTGATGCCAGTACTGCTTTAGTACCAAACGATCGATTACCGTGGACATTTTCTGCTCGAAAGCGAAACAGACGACAAGACGGCTGTCAGAGAGCGTGAAATCGGCAAATGAAATTCACCTCTCCTCACCGGAGGAGGTGGCCTTTTGAGCCGATAGGACGTGTTTAAGCTGACATTCAGCAAGCACTTTCCCGCATAGGTCCAGGAGACACACAAGGTGACGCATCACTATCGAAAAACCGATTTCTACTGAGAAAAAAGTTTTCTGTCTGCATAGTTTCAGCTCAAAACGGTTTCGCACTGACGACATTTTCTGCTCGAAAGCGAGGCAGACAACAATACGGCTGTCAGAAGGCGGGAAAAGGGCACCTGACATCCTCCCCTCCTCATCCGAGAAGGTGGCCTTTTGTTTGGCCTTTTGAGCCGAGAGGACAAACTTAGGCTGGCATTCAGCAAGCGCTTTCACACATAGATACAGGACACACACAAGGTGATGCATCATTATCAAAGAACCGAATTCTACTGAAAAAAACAGTTTTCAGTCTGTGTACATTCAGTACGAAATGGTTTCGCACCGACGACATTTTCTGCTTGACAGCGAGGCAGAAAACAAGGCGGCTGTCAGAGTACGCGAAATCGGCATCTGAAATTCTCCTGTCCTCCTCCTCCTCCTTCGCCGAGAATGTGGCCTTTTGTTTGACCTTTTGAGGCGATGGGACGATATTAGGCTGAGAATTAAAAAAAACGCTTTCTCGCATTAATTCTAAACAGACAAAGTTACGCGTGAAAACCGGAAAACCGGTTTCAGCGGAAGGATTTTTTAAATTTAAAAGTGGACAAGAAAACAGTTTTTTCATAAAAAAAATGAGGACCAGTAGAGCACCAGAACATTTCATTTACTCAACCCATTTTGTTTGGAAGAAATTTGACACCTATAAGGGCAAATAAATTCAAAAAAACTTATTGGCGTCATAAGATTTGGCGAACTCTTATTCAACTAACTACAGTCATTGCCTAAAAAAAGACAAGAGAAGCTGTCCAATTAGATATAGACCAGTTTCCTAAGTATACGAGCTATACACCTAGGCCTAAATTGACCGTCCGCGGTTGTATTAGTGAACCGGAAAGTCTACTGTACGTTATGAACTGACACTCAGCTATCGCACGTAAGGACTATTTAGAGCGTTGATTTAGGCTGTCTGACGGCAACCGGTCATACCATTAAGTTTGATGGGCTCGAAATTTGCCCTCGTAAAGCCTACGAAAGACGATTTATTTACGTCAAGTCTTTTCTGTCTCCTGTCCATCAACAGGCAACAAGCCCCTATATTTCAAGTATATAGTAAAAAAGGTGAGCTGCCATCTTTTGCGGCATTGGCTACTAACAAGGCCAGGCCTTTGCTGGTAGCTTGAGGCCACGTTATATTCTTCGGAGTTAGGTGTGCGCGTTGTTTATCTGTGTGGAAGAGAGTTGAAAGAGTGAGACTGACACTGGAGACATTGTCCGCACGGTAATTCAACAAATTCCTCACAGGTCCTACGCTCTTCAATCTATCACTAAGTGCTACATACGGTTTCATTTGTAGGACTGATGATCAGAGTTTAATGGCATGCACGCATACATTAACTACCAGGTAGACAAAGTGAGGCCCATATAAGCTGTTTTATTTTGCGAGACACTGGTTCGGAGATCGGTCACGGTTGTATCGATCTTGTCTCACGATCGAAATGAGCAAGAGTAAGTGAGGTGGATGCGGCGAAAACCTGCAAAACGTAGACTAATTCACGTACGTGCCACCGCAGCCGAACCAATGTTCTCGTCCCGCGATTGTTGTCTCGCTCGCCATAGTTCTGTGCTGGATTTCTGAGGGCATGATGCAGTGAAATGGGATGTGGGTGGCCATGACTCAAAGTGAAGTACACTTAATGTCTGTACATCACCGCGACTCAAAAAGGGCCGACTGGCTTCGGAACAGAAACAGAGCGATTTAACTACCATTTAACTAGCAGCTAACATTGCATCGATGTTATGATGCCCGAGAGTACCCACATGTGCCCTACAGCTCATGCAATGGCGAATAACGTTGAATTCAGTAAGCAGGTATCTGCCGTAGACCCCAGGCACAGAAGTCATGCATGCTCTGCTCATTTTGTGTTTCAAACTCTAACGGTCCTTTCTTAGGAGAAAAATACGTCTAGAATGGTGAGGTTATTATTGTCGGATTCTGTACTTCCAGAGCAGGTTAAACGCGGATCGAAAGCAACATAAGAACAAATGTAATGTCCCTTCCGAGTACGCCGCATTCTTTCTAAATCTTTTCCTTAGCTTTCACGTCGCCGTTATCGACTGTAAGGACCTTCTCTAAACTACACTGACAATTTATTTTCAATAACGATGATTCCTGAGTGAAAGGACAGATTGGGGATTATGTTGCAGATGACTCATTCCAATTGCAGTGTCTTCTACTTATTATCCATTTTAGTAGGACTAAACGAAGGCTTTACTGGGTCGCTGAAAGAATTCGCAATACTGCACGAACGCTTCACCACAGACATGGATGGCATACCACTTATTATTTCACAGCAGACGCAAAGAATGCATAGGATACTAGATTACTAAAATTCGTAAATTGGCCCGCCTCGTTTGGATATTATCAAAGAGCGCCCAACAGAGCATTTAAAACTTAAACCTTATGTATACTCCAGTGTAATCACATTTAAAGATTTAGGTTGACTCCCTGTCATTATCTGGAAACTGTTTTGACCCCTTCCTTGCCAAGTTATTCTACATCCTGGTATTCTTAATTTATGTAGTGAAAATATTTTTAGCTTTCCCAATCAGTCCTTTTTTATCGGCCCTCATCTGTCCATATTTCCCAAGCGTTATAAGTCATGCCTATTCTGCCTATTTTGT